ATGTACTCAAACCCCATTTCATTAATAGATTTCATGGTGAGTTCCGAAAGCCCCAGCGTGGCAAACAACTCTGTGCTCATAATCCCAGAGCCCGAACTCCTCACTGCCTTCTTTATCTCCTTCCTCGTCTCATCCTCTTCCTCTTCCTCTTCCTCTTCTTCCTCTTCCTCTTCCCCTTCCTCTATTCCTTCATCGTCTTCTTCTCTCTTTCTCACCAAATTCTTCTTTTTCTTCTCTTCCTTCGACCCCTGTTCTCCCAGGTTCTCATCCTCATCTTTTTCCATCCTTTTTGCCAAATCCTTCCTCTTCTTTTTCTTATCTTTCTTCAAGCTCTTCTCTTCGCCCTTTTCGTGCTCACTGCCATAATTTTCGTTCTCTTTCAATTTCTCCACTTCTTCTTCAGCAACTGTGGGGCTTCCATCGGGCATGTTTTCATGGTTGCTATGCTTCTTCCTTGAATCGCGCTTTCTTATCCGCTTCCTTTTGGTGGAATCGACCTTGGAGATTTCCGGCATCACGACGACCACACAGCTGAAAAATTGGAGTTGATACTGAGAATCTAGGGTTTATGCAATGGGTATCACGACACCACACAGCTGAAAATTTGAAGTTGATACTGAGAGTCTAGGGTTAATGCAGGGTATCACAACGACCACAACTGAAATTTTGAAGTTGATACCGAGAGTCTAGGGTTTATGCAAGGGTATAAGGAACAGTTTCAGTTTGCTACTTGGAGGGTTTAATAGTCCGGCCCAACTTGAGCAGCCCAGTAAGAAGTTTAGGACAATTTATATCATCCCTCGTGGACGGTCCACACCAATTATTATTACATGGACTATGGTCAACGGCAAATTATGTTGTGCATCCGTATGCACCATGCATGGTGCATACGGATGCAAAAACGACGTCGTTTTAATAAAACGCGCGTCTCCCCTTAAAAAAAAAAAATCAAGTTCGATTCACAGCAACAGCATATGAACTAAAATTCCATAATCGATGAACTATAATTCCATAATTGATGAACTATAATTCCATAATCGATGAACTATAATTCCATAATCTATTCTATGAACTAAAAATTTCAGAATGAATGAACTAAAATTCCATAATCTATAAACTAAAATTTCAGAATCGATGAACTACAATTCCATAATCGATGAACTATAATTCCATAATCAATGAACTATAATTCCATAATCTATGAACTAAAATTTCAGAATGAATGAACAATATAATGTTGTTGCTGGGAATCGAACCTGAATTTTTTTTAAAAGGGAGACGCGCGTTTTTTAATAAAACGACGTCGTTTTGGCATCCGTATGCACCATGCATGGTGCATACGGATGCACAGCATAACGTTTGATGGTCAACATAGTTGTGTGGATCATAAATACAAAATACATTTTTAATATATTAAAAGTACATTATTTGAAACCAATCATTATGCTATGGAACTGTGTTCACCATGTCCCAAACGGTAACGGTGCTTACGGGTACCACCCTTATTTTCCACCAATTTTTCTTTCTTTCTTTTTTTTCAGCGCGATTTTTCTTCTTCATGTTCACATTTTGCGGTTTCACTTCCTCTTCAAGCAAGTTTCTTCAACACTCATAAATTATGAATGTGCAAGCATGGATTTATGAATGTGCAATTATGAAATTATGAATTTTCTGTTATGAGATTATGAATGTACAGAAAATTCATAATTACATAACTATAAATTGATAATCTCATAACAGAAAATTCATAATTTAATATATATTTTTTATGAGATTATGAATTTTCTGTTATGATATTCTGAATGTACAAAAAATTCATAATTTCATAACTGTAAATTCATAATCTCATAACAGAAAATTCATAATTTAATAAATGTAAATTCATAATCTGAACATAGAATGCAAAACGCCGTTAACATTAACTAAAAAAATTTTTTTGGTAAAAACGATGTTGTGACCGTGTTCACAAAGCATGGTGAACACATTTCCAGGGCATAATTTGCGATTTGAAACTATATTATTTGAATACTAAAAATACATTATTGTATATATGATCAAATAATGTACATTCAGTACACAAATAATATAATTTTAGTATATTAAAAATGTATTTTATATTTATAATCCAGACGTTAGGGGACTTAGATCCAAAATACACAATTTACATACTGAATGTTCACAATTTGAATTGTGAACATTTAGTATATAAATTGTGAACATTTAGTATGTAAAATTGTGAACATTCAGTATGTAAATTATGAATATTCAGTATGTAAATTATGAATATTCAGTATTTAAATTGTGAACATTCAGTATATAAACTGTGAACATTTAGTATGTAAATTGTGAACATTCAGTATGCAAATTGTGTACTTTTGAATTCGGATCCACCTTGCAAGGTGGACCCAGGTTCACAGAATAATTTGCCGGTCCACACAACTGTGTCGACCATAGTCCAAAAACGTCGTTGTTTCTTTAAGTAAAGAAACAGTAGTCGTTAAAATTTTTAACAAATCTCATATTTTGTGTGTGTTTAGAACAAAATGAAACTACAATGTATCTAAAATGAAATTCAATAACAACTTAACAAGTCTCACTATAATAAGACTATTGTATGTATAATGTTAAATCAAACTGTAGTTGAAACAAAATGAAACTTTAGTTGTACTAAAATAAAACTACAACGTATATAAAATGAAACAGAATATGTTATACAAACAGAATTAATTACACGGAATGAGTGTCGTTTCTTTTCATTAAAAGAAACGACACCGTTTTGAACCATGGTCCCCAATACAATTTGCCTTTATATCATGAACCATGTCCACATAGCATTGCAGACCTTGAACCAAAACGACGAGGTACAGAATTCATACTCGTAAGGTACAGAATTTCATATCATAAGACACAAAAAAAATCACAACACAAGACACATACACGTGTTATATTGTTGGTCCCAAAAGAGGTAAGGTGAAAGTCTAGGGGGGGGGGGTGAATAGACTTTCAAACTTTTTCGCACAGCACAACAATTGCTAAGCCAGAGAGAAACCAAAACTCTTAACTAGATTGTTAGAGTATGGTGCACAGCGGAAATAAATAAAGATAAAGTGTGTGTGAGATTGTGACAGTATATATCGTGTGAAGCAGGTAAAGAGCAGTAAGTAAAGAAAGCAGTAAAGAACACAAGACAATTATAGTGGTTCGGAGGTGGTGTAATCCTCCTACTCCACTTGCTCTTATCTCCAAGAGCAATTCACTATATCCACCACTTCTTGGTTCCAAGATACAATGAATTTCGTGATCTAGTGCTTTGATCACCAAGCCCGCACTAATCACGCCCAGTGACACCACACTGCTGCTTCGGGTTTCACGTCTCCGCGCTATTATCGCAGGATTTCACGACTCCGCGTTACTTTCCCCCCGTCTTTCACACTACGGTAGAAACGTATCTCGTGATCTAGTGCTTTGATCACAAAGCCCGCACTAATCACACCCAGTGCCTCCGACACTGCTGCTTCGGATCTCACAGCTCCGTGTGACAATCCAGGATTTCATAGCTCCGTGCTACTTTCCTCCCTTCTCTTGTTTTGCTCCAAAACAAGTTTTGTCTTACTTCCAACTTCCGAGACTCTGTAGATGATCTTTAATACGATGCAGGTCTCTTTGATGAACACTCTTGAAAGATTTCTCGTGTAAGCTCTGAGTGTTTTCTCTCTTTGAATGTATAAAGTAAAGCACTTGATTTTTTGCTCTGTTTAGCTCTGCTTTTAGAACTCTCAGAATATTTCTTTTGAAGCTCTCTGAGTTCTTTTTCTTTTCTCTCACTTGAAGATTTCTTTTGGTATGCTCTGTACCAAATGAGATTTTTGCTCTTTGTATTCTTGCTCTTATTTAGCTCTTTGCTCGTATGTTCCCCATCTTCAAGTCTTCATATCTTCATCATTTTATAACTGGTAATGAGAATCTGCCCGTTGGAAAGAGACGATCTCATTTTTGAATTCTTGTATCTTTTGTCAGAGATCTTATCTTATCTTCTGGCAAAGTGTCAAAAAAGATAAGATAGCCGTTGGTAGAGCTTCAACTTCATGCAAATGAGTTCCCAAACTTCATCTGATATTCCTATGGTTTTCTCACGTTTCTTGGGAATATCTGGGTCTCAGTTTTGTGTAGAACAGCTTCTCTGATCAGCTCTGAAGTGGTTTCTTGGGATTTAAATACTTCAAAAATATTTTTCAATTTAATCCCATACTAGTTAGACTAGTATTTTTCTTTCTGAGAAATTCTTCACTGTAAGTTTTCTCATCTTATTCGTCTGGGTGTTCTGATATTTCAAACTAGCTTTGAGAAATTCTTCACTGTAAGTTTTCTCATCTTCTTCGTCTGGGTGTTCTGATATTTCACTAGTACAAAATTGCAGATAGACAACCATTGTAAAAGACAATAGGCAACCATTGTACAATAGTCGCCTATGAGAGGCTTGCGGATAAGCATCGACTTTACGCGACCATTGTGAAATGGCAGCGCATTGTTAGTAATACGCGATCGTTCTTGACAAAGAATGGTCGCGTATTGTTTTTTTTTTTTTTGTTTTTTTTTTAATTCAAATGGAAAAACGCGACCATTTTAAGCTAGAAATGGACGCGTTTTCCTTTTTATTTTTTTAATAATTAATTATCCGCGGCCGTTTTAGGCTAGGAATAGTCGCGGATGAACCTTTTTTAAAAAAATTATTTCATTTATCTTATTAAAATCCCTAATTTTGTTTATAGTTCCTGTACCTGTTACAGCTTAGTAAAATCCTATCAACATTACTCCACAATACAATTTATCTATCAACACACATTAAAACAATACTTTTAACACAATGCAAATACTATCATCAAATTAAACACAATACTTTTAACACAATGCAAATACTATCATCAAAATACAATGACACTTAAAATTCTCATACTTTAATAAAATAATATCATTAAAACATGCCCAACTCAATACTATCGTCAAAACAAATACTTTTTATCAATAAAATAAAAGTTATAAGCACTCGGAAAAGAAGAACTTTGACCAATGCTCTCGAGCTCATTTATGTCGTGGATAGAATACGGACTATCATCAGTCTTTTTTGGTGGCTGTACTTTATCTGCCTCAAGAATGTTCAGGTACCATTTCTGTGTAACAGAATAAGATGAATAATCAACACTCAATAAAACAACACAACACAAAATATATTAGTTTGTTAGTAAAAGATATTTGTAGCAGACCACATCAAACAAACATTGTTCACCTTAGTTGTTGCCTGCATTCTCTCAACATAAGCATTCATGAGGGGATCCATTGAACCACTCTCAGAACAAACTTGAGCCAAAGACTCATCAACTCCAAGTGCAATTAAATTCTCTTGGTATTCCACTACCCAGCCAGTTACCTAATTACATGAATAATATAAATAAATAAACTATGCGATGTTAACCAAAAGAGTAGTTAGCAGTACTCTAATCATGTTGTGCTCCCCATCTTTTAGAAATCAAGTGTCATGGTGTTCAACACAGAGCACATGTTTGACCGTTTCCAAATGTTAATAAATGAATATTCAATACCTTTAAAATCTCTATATTTTTCAGATTATTAGCTTGGTCACTTAGCTTTCTCAGCCACTGAATAAACCTCTCAGTATAAAGGTTTACCATAAGCTGGAAAATTTCATATCTGAAACATGAAAGAAATGAATAATAAACATTAGAAAAATGCATTTGGACTTCACAAAAAAAAAAAAGAAAAAAAAAAGAGGAAAGATATTCATTAAAAAAATAAAGACATTAATATATCTTCCAATTCTTAAAGGTTGTATGCCACATGAAAGTTCATGTAAAGGTTGTGGACTTGTGGATAGCAGCTCTGCAACAGCTTCATGTAAACATAATCTTAGATGGCATGTCCAAATGCAGATTTAAGATGGCACAATTTGCGCCATACCGATCCAATTCAAGCCACCCCAAGCCCTTATTCCTAATGTCTATCAAGTAATATACATAATATTGCCCATTTAGCCTACTTGTTGACCTATGTTGATGCTCACTCTTATTAGCTGAAGTATCTTTTTTTAAGGTATAATACATACACAACAATATAGCATTATGCAATCATTTATTAATACATGAAGAAAGAAAAACTTAAATTCAATTTTGGATTCCATTACTGAAAAATAAATAGAAGATATGCCCCATCTTGCAAAGTGATTAAGTGAAGTCCCATTGCGCATGAGATCAACATAAAATAATGCAGGAAATTTTAATGTCATAAGATGTGACAACTTTAGATTTTGCTAACAGAAGGGGGGTGGGGTTATAAGGTTTGCAAAAGCTGTTATCAATAAGGAAACTATAACAGAAGTGTAGATGACAAACCTCGGAGGAAAGCAAGGAGCCACATAATCGTATATATCTCCAAGTTCTTCCCCCATCTGAATTAATAAAACCTCAGTGTTATTAAATTCATTATTATAAGTCTATGAATACTAATATTGAATCAGCTATGACAAGTATTTCAATGATATAATTTACCACTTTTGCCTATAGCTGCTTTTAGGTCTTCCTCTCTTAGAAGCTGATCAAAGCGTGCTTCAACAGACTTTCTTATATGTTCATAGCAATTATCCTTGTAGCCTTTCCCCTGAATCTTCAATTTTTGCTGTATAATGTTTTTGGTAGAAGCTGTTCCATTTACAGCTTTCCTGCATGCCAGCAAAATAACTAGAACTTAGAATGACTTTACATGCAATACACTTCAGAAGTGCAAGGCACAACTGAATTGAAGAAAACAATAGATTAAACAAGAAAACTAAAAATATAACTAATGACTTAAGCATCAAGACCTTAGGAGAGAGCTAAAGTTGTTGGTCTAGGATTTCTTGCATCTCAACCCTAGAAAAATAAAAGGGTGTAGAAAGTCCAGAATAATGCATAAAGTTTTCTTCTTACCAAATAAATAGCACTGGAAAGCATACAAAAATGCAACACGTTTCATTTTAACACGCCAGTCATTAAGAATAAACATCATTTGCATTTGATGCAGCCATTTTGCAAGGTTAGCGCATGTTGTAGAGTCAAATATACCTTGTAGCACGAACCAGAGTCTGAGGGTTGCAAAAGACAAACAATACCAGAAAAATCATGAGAGATATTAACAAGAATGGGAAAGAAGTGTACTGCAGCACTGGCAGTTGAAAAATTGACACTTAACATGGTATAAACTTGAGTTATAGAAGCAAGTAGCATAAAATCTTGTAGGAGAGAAAATAGGCAAAATGTAATTTTACAGTCCACAGCATATGCATGCAAGTCTTAGTTCCCCTTCATGTTACTCTCGCTTCAAACAAGGTCTTTCAGTAAACAGGTTCAACCTATTAGTCATTTAGTCTTGGGCTGGTATGTTCAGGCCAACTTTGGCTGGCACATCTTAGAACAAAGTAATCAAACAAGTTTTAGAGATCTTACATGCTTCTTGGCTTGGCTTAAAAGCCTGCCTGTTTTTCCAACTGAACTAAGTCTTAATGCTAATATTGTTGGGTTGGCTATTTGCTAATCCTTTTAGATAGACCAAAAACGCTTTGTTTTATTCTCTATATGAAATTTTGAAACCACTTTGTTCAGCAGATCCATACAAGTTACAGGCAGATAAATTATCAAGTATACCTCTCCTTAGCAAGTTTGAAGAAGTTGGAAATATGGCCCCATAGTGAGTTTTCAAAAGTTTCCCATGTGCGATCTACATCTTCAAAATACTCTCTGAGAATAATACACATAAAATTTCAGAAGAAAATACTTCGGAAAACAGTAATGAGAAAATTCAAAATATGCAGCACAGGTTCCCATCTGATTCAAAATATGAAGGAAGCATGTGTATTTTTATAGCAAGTGAAAGATATCAAAGACGACACAAGAGGATGAATGGATGATAGCTGCAGGAACTTGAAAGGTTACCGTTTGAATGAACATTATAAATAGTATGACTCTAACTATTTTTCTATATTCAATTCATTTCATCTTATTAGTAATGTTTGACTTGTGTTTTAAACTATACCTTGCTTGATTTATGGTTGGGAATAAATGAAGAGTTGAAACGCTTCTTACATAGTCCTTTATCAACCAAATGGAAATAACATTTACTTCAATGCAAAATAGAACAATATAGTGATTAGTCTTGGTACAATTTCAGCTAAAAAACCAGACAGGGAAACCAAATTTAGTCACATCATTCAGCCTGGCTCTTGACGTGAACCAAAATGGTTCCAATTTTGTTCAGGACCTGATCCTATAAATCCAAAACTTTCATATCTCAAATGAGCATGTTAAAACTAGAACTGCAAAGAATCTGACCTTAGTCTGCCAACCTCTTCCTCATGAGATGCTGCAACAGCTAGTGCAAACCTCCGTTAACCTCTTTTATTATTTTAAAATTCTGATAGAGGTTAACAGCTCTTGATGGAAAACGGAGGTTTGCACTAGCTGCTGCAACATCTCATGATGGAAAACTATTGAAGAAAAGGTGAAAGTTCTAGACTGAGATACAAGGAATAATGCAACTTAGAATACTTTCCTAAGCAAGAATATATATAAAAATCATAAAATATCACATTTATTTATTTATTAAAATAACAATTAAAAAAAAAACTAACCTGCAGATCGGCGTGGTGCAGTGGCGGCTGTGGTGGTGTGTCGCGGTGGGAGCGTGCCGGTGGATGGTGTTGTGCGTGTGGCGGTGCATCGCGGTGAGTGGCGTCGCCGCAGGCCAACGGCGTGGTGGCGGTGGGTGGCAACGACGGCGTCTGACGATCGAGGCAGACGGTGGATCGGAGCAGAGGATGATTTCGATCTGTAGGTGTTGAAGCAGTACGGTGAGATTAGTGTGAGACGATTTCGGTATGATGTGTAGATCTAGGGTTAATTTTAGGCAACCATTTCTGTTTGAAATGGTTGCCTATTATAAAACAAGTTCTATTTTAAGGCAACCATTTCTATTAGAAACCATTGCCTATTATAAATCAATTTTTTTAAAAATAAATACAAAATACAATGGGCAACCATTACAGCTAACAATGGTGGCGGATTATTGATCACTTATTTACAAAATTGCCACCGCGAATTTTTGGGCTCAGATTAGGCAACCATTCTTTCAATAATGGTGGCCTATGGTCAATCTTCTATGTTCAATTTTGTACTAGTGTTTCAAACTAGCTTTGAACTTCCACCCAATTTGAATTGTGTTTTGATATTTCAAACTGGCTTTGAACTTCCGCCCAATTTGAATTTCTCCTTTGTAATTGACACTCAATTGCAATTGACTTGTAATTGGCACCCAATTTGAATTTCTCCATTGTAATTGACACCCAACTGACTTTGACTTGTAATTGGCTCCCAATCTACTCCTGGTGCTTCAATTGCTTCCCATGTGTTCTGATATTTCAAACTGGCTTTGAACTTCCACCCAATTTGAATTTCTCCTTTGTAATTGACACTCAATTGCAATTTACTTGTAATTGGCACCCAATTTGAATTTCTCCATTTTAATTGATACCAAATTGACTTTGACTTGTAATTGGCTCCCAATCTACTCCTGGTGCTTCAATTGCTTCCCATTTTGAATCATTTGACTTTGACTTGTAATTGACTCCCAATTTACTCCTGGTGCTTCAACATTGGCTCCCAACTTGAATTGATTCCCATGTGAAACTAGCTCCCAATTTCAATCGGCTCCTAATTCCTTTGAATTGGCTCCCAAGTGTAATTAATTCTCAATTGCCACCCAAGTGAAATTGCACCCCAATTTCCACTTGAATTGGCTCCCAAGTGTAATTAAGCAATTTGAATCATTTGACTTTGACTTGTAATTGGCTCTCAATCTACTCCTGGTGCTTCAACATTGGCTCCCAACTTGAATTGATTCCCCTTTGACTTGTAAGTGGCTCCCAATCTACTCCTGGTGCTTCAACATTGGCTCCCAACTTGAATTTATTCCCTGAATTGATTCCTTCCCCTTTGACTTGAATTTATTCCCTGAATTGATTCCTTCCCCTTTGACTTGTAATTGGCTCCCATGAATTGATTACCCTTTGACTTGTAATTGGCTCCCAATCTACTCCTGGTACCAAATGTTAGATCTAAATAGTCTAACTATAATAAACCATAGTATACGAGAAACCTGACCTCGTATGATAGCGGAAGTGTAGCCGTGTTGATCTCCAGCCATAGTTGATGTTCCTGTTGGAACCTGACCTCGTATGATAGCGGAAGTGTAGCCGTGTTGATCTCCAGCCACAGTTGATGTTCCTGTGACCTCGTATGATAGCGGAAGCGTAGCCGTGTTGATCTCCAGCCATAGTTGATGTTCCTGTTGTGTTGCCTCTTAACGGTAGACCGTTAGCCATATGTTCCTGTTGTGTTGCCTCTTAACGGTAGACCGTTAGCCATAGTATACGAGAAACCTGACCTCGTATGATAGCGAAAGCGTAGCCGTGTTGATCTCCAGCCATAGTATACGAGAAACCTGACCTCGTATGATAGCGGAAGCGTAGCCGTGTTGATCTCCAGCCATAGTTGATGTTCTTGTTGTGTTGCCCCTGTTGAAACCTGACCTCGTATGATAGTGGAAGCGTAGCCGTGTTGATCTCCAGCCATAGTTGATGTTCCTGTGACCTCGTATGATAGCGGAAGCGTAGCTGTGTTGATCTCCAGCCATAGTTGATGTTCCTGTTGATATGTTCCTGTTGTGTTGCCTCTTAACGGTAGACCGTTAGCCCTATGTTCCTGTTGTGTTGCCTCTTAACGGTAGACCGTTAGCCATATGTTCCTATTGTGTTGCCTCTTAACGGTAGACCGTTAGCCATAGTATACGAGAAACCTGACCTCGTATGATAGCGGAAGCGAGCCGTGTTGTGTTGCCTCTTAACGGTAGACCGTAGTTGATGTTCTTGTTGTGTTGCCTCTTAACGGTAGACCGTTAGCCATGTTTTTCCTCAGACCTGTTGTGTTCCCATATCTACTCTCCTGGTGCGATGATAGTGAGATTCGAACTTAAGCCATTTCACATAATAAATCAGACATCTTCCACTTCGTCCGTACAGTCTATTGGTTAAATCTCCAAACTTCTTTGATGTACTCCTTTCTTTCCATAGATGCTTGATCTCCAAGTCAAATTTATGCAATATTCCAATCTTAATTTTCTTTCACGAAAATTCTTCTGGGATATCTTTTTAAGTAGTAGCGACGTGAATTTCGTATCATTCATCTTCTTCTATTTGTCATTTTCTCCAGACAAGTTCTTGATTTTCAGCTTGATATCTTCTTCTTCTATTTTCATGCTTCTTCCTCTGTTTTTCTCCTTTTGCAAATTAAATAATTTCCCGATCATGGTCTAAGACTCTACTAGACCTATAGAAACAAAATTGGGGGTTCTACGAATACATATTTGGCATATCAAAACCATTACATTTTATTCCTAACATATATATTTACTTATTTTTTAAATCTGATTTATGTACAAAATTTGTGTCCACGGACACCAAATTTCACAACACAAAGACATAGAAATCTAAATCTAATCTAAAAACCTAATAAGTATGAATACAGGTTATGTCTTTGGATTTATGTCCGTTTTTCCCATGCTGAGTTGTTTGTACCTTATGTTCTTAATATTGTACATTATTTGTTTTATGACAAAATTGCCCAAGAATATTCAATTACTGTTAAATGCCAAGCATATTCCGTTAACAATTGCATAAACCCGTTTGTTGTTTATTATTAAGGTTAATTGGCAATTGCATAAACGCGTGGATTGAGTCCACGTTTCCTCCTTCAGGCTTCATCTTCCTTATTATCGCGAAAGATCAGAGTATCAGATACTTACGTTTTTCCTTCATCTTCCTTGATTACGCAAGACGTTTCCTCCTTCATCGCAGAATAATGTCAGACTTTCCTCCTTCATCACTTATGTACCTGAGTCTCAATATGCTATTGCAGAGTCCAGCGACCTACATTGCTTTCCCAATTCCATCTATGCCAAATCTCTCTCTCTCTCTCTCTCTCTCTCTCTCTCTCTCTCTCTCTCTCTCTCTCTCTCTCTCTCTCTCTCTCTCTCTCTCTCTCTCTCAATTTAATGCATACATTATTAATTTATGATATGGAATCCCGTATGACCCAATATAATCCACCCATCTCTTCCTCCGATTAAGGGTTTTTAGGTTCGTTCCATCATAATAGGTTAGCACTTCAGCCATTCTTGGAGCCACAGATCAGCTAAGGAAAAATATATCAATGGTTGGAAAAATGTATCAACGGTTGGTAAATTTATGTTTTCTAATTTTATTCTAACACTTTTTCCGGCTATTCACCCAGTATACCATTTTTACTCTATCTACTCTCGCTATTTAAAGATTCCATTATAGTGACACCAACACAGAACAATTGCGGCATTTTTTTTAGTGTGTTTCTCCGTACACAAGTTTCTTCAGATGTTTGTTTTTCTCAACAACTTAAATTAATTCTTTATATTATTAATATTATTAATTTGATTTTTTTTATTTTCAACAAAAAATTTAGTGTGTTTTTATGTTCTTCAACTTTCTGTAGTTTCTAGCTCTGTGAATGTAGTATTGTAATTATTATTTTTGTTTTCAACCAAAAGGCTTCACCATCTGATGATTCTATACACATTGTTAGATAAGGTTTGCTGTAGAGATACCAAATTACCCATTGCTTATGATCATTCTGCTTCACCCACTAGTACCGAATTGCAGATAGGCTACCATTGTAAAAGACAATAGGCGACCATTGTACAATGGTCGCCTATGAGAGGCTCACGTAAAGTCCATGACTTTACGCGACCATTTCGAAATGGTCGCGTATTGTATTTATTTATTTTTTTAATGGTAAAAAGCGACCACTTTAAGCTAGAAATGGTCGCGTTTTTCTTTTTTATTTTTTTATTAATTAGTCATCCACGATCGTTTTAAGCTAGAAACGGTCGCGAATGACTTTTTTTAAAAAAAAAAATTATTTATTTTAATTAAAATTTCTATTTTTTTTTTTTATAATTCCTATACCTATTGCAACTTAAAATACATATCAACAATACTCCACAATATATTGAGTCAAATTAAAATTAAAAAAATATAATAATAATAATAATAATAATTAAAAAATTCCATATTAGGAGTCAAATTTATGGCTAGAGACGGAAATTTTGAGATCCTTAGGTTCTAGAAAAAATAGAATACCGAACAAGGTTATTACATTTTCCTCTCCCTTTGGAGCAAACTCTAAAGCTTCTTCCACCTTCCCATTCCTTATCAGTTCCATCAACCTTTGCTTTTGGAGATGGAAAAAGAGCTGGGGATTTGTATCTAGTATCTGCATCCAAGAATGTATATAATTATTTTAAAAGCAAATTTAACCAATCAAAGTCAGCTTAGTGGTTCTTTCATCAGCTTAAAGATGAAACAAACATAAAGTAAAAGAAAATTGTGCGAGATACCTTTTTCGCAAGAGCTTTAGAAATGGAAAGTTTCCGTCTCTCAGCATTTGCAATATCCTGCCTAAACTGTTCTAGCTCAGATTTGTCATGATCCAACTTAGCATCATTTTTCTGTTGTTCAGCCACAAGTTCATTAATTTTCTGGTCTATTTGTGAGAAAAGCTTATCGAAAACATAAGGCAAAACCAATTCAATTAATTTATCACATGACAGAAAAAACATGAAGTAGAAACATGGGAAAATATTAATGAGTGCAATTTCATTATAACTCCTTCTACAATCAGCATACAGAAACAGGACAGTGAAGGAAACTTTGTTCCCAGAAGCCTGTCAACTCCACCTGTGTGAGTTAACTAACCAAGAGTTGAAAAGAATGCAGTAGGGTAACTTCAGATAAAACTAGTGAACATAACCCCAATGATCTTAAGGTTGTGACAACTGTCATAATGATTTTTAAAGTAACCTAGAGATCTAAGTACAACATGAACTGATACTAGAGTTCTACCATGCTATAAGTTATATGTCAATACAAGATTTCATTTGACTCCTTTCATCAGTCTTTAAAGCAGAGATGATAGGAGTACAAGTTCCAACTAGAATAGCAACACAGCGTGTAGAAGATACAGTTAAATATTGCACATATAAAAGCTTATTCATCTTGCAGTCATCTAAGGTATTTTTAGCAATTTCTTGTGAGACTTAAACACACACACACACATACAAAGTCAGTATGAACTTCTATCTTATCCATCCTAAACAAACACAGATAAAGCAAACTGACATGAACTTTAAAACTTTTCTTTTCAAAAATGTTAGAACCAAATGCACAAAGCACACACATCAAGCAGGGTCTAGAAGGTAAACTGTAAAAGGATATCTTGAAGCATTTGTCTAACTTGCTCTAATTCATTTTGCTTTTCGCTGATAGAAATTGTGTTAAGCCTAACAGTGCTCATGAACCTCAGTTTTGAGCATCTATAATCATAAAATCCACCAGTCATGCCACCTTTTTTGCTCACTTGGTCACCTGCAAGTAGGATATTTGTCAGTTTTTTAGTGTAATAAGCAAACACTAAAATAGTCAAATCATGAAGAATCAAGTTTTCTGAACCTTCCAAAGTAATGTAGTCAAGACCATCTGTGCGGACAACTCTTGTTGCAACATCCAAATCCTGGCAAATTATAGTTCTAGCAAACACCTAGGTCACAACATAAATTCACCAAATTTTAGCGAAAGAATATGATAAGAATGCCCTTCAAAGACACTCTTTGTTATTTAAGATTCTAAGAGGACAATTTAATTCAGAAGTTCATAAAATGTGAGATAATATTGTGTTAGTGCGTATTCAGTTAGAACACAAACTTAGAACTCAGCCTTAGAATTTTATGGGATAGAATGACTTTTCATCTATTGGAAAGGAATGACTTTTAATGCATCCTTATGGGCAAAAGGAACTGAATATGTTACATCCAGCTATCTTCTCAGATTGAAAAATGGTTTCACAGCATCAAAATGTCTTTATAGCACAATTTACCATAGGATTCCTTGTTCTCGCAAACTTGTTAATCATTTTCTTTTCTTTTTGTATTTTTGTTTTATTTACTTATTAATTTTTGATAAGGTATTTACCCTCAGAAAGATAAACCAATATAATGCTTACAATATTCTTGGAAATCATAATTGGTCCAAACAACTCCATATCTTGACTCATGCTGGTACGGGGAATTTTTTTTTTCAAACAAAAAATGACACACTAAGGGGAAAGGGGAGATCAGAAGAGTGTGGTGGTGCAAGTTGTGTGTCTATTTATCTATAAACTTACAATTTGTCATACATAAGATAGAATTATTGATATGCTCTCAGTTTGTAATATCTCCACTGCAAAGTTAAAAAAATTCTCACCTAGCAAAATTTTTTACAAGCAGCAGAGATGTCATAATCAAAGAAGAGAATGTAACGTTTATTCGTTAATATTATTATAACATTAGGATAAGTTATGATAATATTCAGTATTTGATATGTGGTGCAACACTAATAACCTAATAGCTAGACTACCATTGTGATTAGGAGTCTAGTTAGGGTTTAGGAGACCTAAAGACAATCAACCACAATGATGGCCAGTGGTTATATAAGGTCACTAGTCCTCTCACTGCTCACATTACATACCTCATACACCATCTAGAGAGAGTTGAGTAAAGTGAGAGACAAAATACTCGTTATCTCTGCAGCAGTCCGGATCGCTCAACCGTATCAAGAACTATGGCTGGAGGTTAGTCGATCCTATTATCGCATATTGTAATTATGCATGTGATATTTTAGTCTAACAGAGAATCCTTTGCTTGTTAAGCTTTCAATAATCCCTTTTGTATATCTGGATTCTCTCAACAAGCTAGCTAAATATTTAAATAAGGAAAAGTAACAAATAAGGTATATATCATTGTTCATTGACACCACAAGCACATAGTGACACTTACTCTGCAATTCCATGTGATAATTTATGTAATATAAACTTTCTATACTATGAAAATGTGATGAAAGAATCAGGACCAACCTCAGGAGTCATCCAGAAGGGAGTGCCCTTGCAAGACTTCAAATTATTCAGTTTAGTGGCTTGCATGATGTATTAACTGCAACATCAGGCTTATAGCATCCTAAGAAGCTTTCAAAAATTAAATAAATATAAAAATATTTAAAATTCTGCTATAGAAGACCAAAATGACACCATAGGTAGTTGATGTTATCACATCTGTGCTTGTTTTTATAGTTATTTTGAATCATCTCAGTAATTAAGTTCTTTAATTTCGCTTATTTAATACATATTTTCCTTGCTGTTATCATTTAATTATGGTTCACACTTGTTTTGAATGTTTTACGGTGTTTGTTAGTGTTTTTGAACTATTGTAGGTCAATTCTATGAGCAAGGGGAGTTTAAGGATGAGTTTGGAGCAATTTTGGACAAGTTCGGGGCCCAGAGGACTCGACGCATCGAGCCAAAGGCTCGACACGTCGAAAATTTCCAGTAGCATCACAAAACTGAGCCAAAGAGGCTCGATGCGTCAAGCCTCAATTCGACGCGTCGAGAAAGACGCGAGCAAATTCCGCGCGAAACATAATGGCGCTGAAAGTTGGCATTTTCCTTTCTAAATCAAGAAGCAATAAATTGAGGTGCAAACTTCAAGTTTCCAAATCCAAAATTCAATTTCAATTTCCAAAGCTTCATCTTCCAAAATCAAATGTTAACAAATATTGAAGAATTTGGCAATTTGCTAATTAATTTAGAAGATTCCTATTTCATCTCAACTTTGTACCCACTATAAAATCCCTCCTTCCTCAACCCTAATAGGACACCGAGAGATTTTTTAGAGTTCTTTGTAGACAAGAAAGAGAGAAATCAAGAGGCTCAAGTTGTCTTTGGAAGCAAGGAGGAAGCCAAGGAGATTTGGGAGAATCACTTGGTTAATTCTTGTACTCTTTTGATGATTTGTAATCCTTTATTCATATTTGCTATGTATAATTTAGCCATGCTCGGCTAAATTCTTTAAGGATTTTTGGGTGAATTTGTTTATGAACCTATGTGCCTAGTTCGTTAATTTCTTAATATATTTATGTTTGGTTTTATGATTTGTGTTGCAATCTTGTTTTAATCTGTTGTTGTTGGTAGTTAAAGGCCTAAATTACTAGCTTCACAGTCATGTTTGTGTCACCAATGGGAGTTGGGGCATAAATTAGGGCACACACGATTGCACCTAATGGTTGGTCCTTGGGAAAGGGGAACTTATTAGGGGAAGTTTATTCTAGATTATTGCTCATCGGGAGATGGTAGTAATTAGGAATAATTGAATGCTGATCTTTGATCTTATTGGGTGTTTAAGCCATGGGAGTGGAAATTCACTAGGAATAGAGATTACGAGAGTAATTCAATTCCACTTTGCATTCCCATACAAATCTTAATTCCAAACCAAATATTACAAACGTTAATTGGCACTAGGTGATTAAACATTGTGATCCCAAGAATTCTATTTTGCTCTATTGTCTACAAAACCTTGCTACTTATTTTATTCTGCTTGTTATTTTATGCAATCAATCAACCTTCAAGTTTTGTTCGGACTAGTTTCATATGAGTAACCAAGTAGCTAGTGATTAGTACCCCACCTCTCTGTGGTTCGACAACCCGAATACTCCGGGTATTATTTGTTTGCCCCAAATTACAGCAATCAAATTGGCGCCGTTGCCGGGGAGGTGGCGTTACGTACTGACATTAGTGAAAGTCTTACTTTAGGAGTCTAGTCCATTTTTATTTATTTTATTTGCTAATACATAACAAGTTCCTTGTTCTTGAGTGTGATTTTGCTTTGAATCTAAGAACTTGGCTTTTTATGCATACACGATCTCTTGGGAAAGAAGGATTATTACCTTTGAATCTTGAGATTGAGAAAAGAGCCAAGTTTCTAAGGAAACAAACTAGGATGGCACAAGAAAACCAAGCTGAAGGGAGATCAATGTCTAACTACCTTGCTCCGGATGTTGAGGAGCATGGTAGCATCAATATTCCAAATGTGGAGGCCAATAACTTTGCGATCAATCCGGTCATACTCAGCATGGCTGCGGCAGATCGATTTGGAGGGATGCCCACGGAAGATCCCAATGCTCACGCCACCAAGTTCCTACGAATTTGTGGCACTTTCAAGATAAATGGAGTCACTCAAGATGCTGTCAGACTTAGGCTTTTTCCCTTTACACTGAAGGACAGGGCTGAATATTGGTTATCCTCACATCCAGATAACCATTTTGACACTTGGGACAAATTACATGGAGAATTTTTGAAGAAGTTCTATCCTATCTCCAAAACTCAAAGGATGAGAAGGGCAATTCAAAACTTTAAGCAACTGGCAACTGAGTCCCTCACTGAGTATTGGGAGAGATTTAAAGAATTGAAGAGGTAATGTCCACACCATGGATTTCAAAGTTGGGATTTGATGATGTCTTTCTATGAAGGATTTCTTGATAATTCTAGGATTTTGGTGGATGCTTCTTCGGGTGGTTCGTTTACGATTCTAGAGCCAACACAAGCCGAGGAACTATTGGAGAAAATTGCTATGAATGGATCTACTTGGTACACGGAGAGGTCCCCACAAAAGCTTGTAGGAGGAATTCATGATGCGGGGCAATTAGCCGATTTGTCAACAAAGTTGGATAATGTGGTCTCCATGGTTCAAAAACTTGCCCAAATCACCATCCAAAATCACAATGTGAGTCATGTTTCTAACCCTCCTACTCTTGGTCGAGTTTTGATGTGTGAACTTTGTGGTGGTGGACACAAGTCAGGGGATTGTATCGACGAGTTAAATTCCCAAACCTCTATGGAGCAAGTTAATATGTTGGGATATAATAGGCCTCATCAACAGTCTTTCCAACCTCAAGGGACCTACCATCCTAATAATTCAAGGAACCATCCCGGCTTTTCATGGAGCAACCCAATGGGAGCTGCCAACCCTCAACACTTTGTTAATAGAGGTCCTCTGGGTTTTCAAGGTACTCAAGTTCAATCTAAATTTCCCGTTTCAGAGGCCCCACCACAATCGAATACGGAAGTTTTGTTGGAAAAATTGATTAAAGGTCAATTAGAGATTACAGAAAGGATGGATAAAATGGATGCTCGCCAAATTATGGTTGAAAAGCAATTAGCAAATCAACCTTCTATATCAAGTACTAAAGTCACAGGGAAGTTGCCAGCTATGCCTGAAAATCCAAGGGAGCATGTAAATGCAATTGTTACAAGGAGTGGCAAAGTACTTGAAGAGCCACCTCTTCCAATCAAAGCATCAATTCCTAAAAAGACAGTTGAGGAGAAGATTGAAGAGATACTTGATGGTATAAAAGATGAGCCAATTGCTGTGCAAAATAATCCACAAGTTCAAAAGGAAGTAGAGAAACCCGTGAGAAGGTATGTACTCCCATTGCCTTTTCCTCAAAATCTAGAAACAACAAAAGAAAGTAGGTGGAAAAAGTTTTTGGAGATTGTTGAGAGTTTGAAAGTTTCAGTTCCCTTACTTGATTTGCTTTAACAAGTTCCTTCTTATGGAAAATTTTTGAAAGAGATTCTAGCTAAGAAAAAGAAATATGGGAAACGAGAGATGGTAGCTGTGACACAAGAGTATCAAGCGTTGACCCCGGGAATTGGGAGGAATATACCTAAGCATAGAGATCCGGGGAAGTTCACAATTCCTTGTGTGATTGGAGGCCGACCCTTAAAGGGATCCCTTTGTGATTTAGGAGCCAGTGTGAGTGTTATGCCTCTTACTCTTTGTCAAGGGTTAGGGTTGGGAGAACCAAAACCAATCCAATTCACCTTAGAAATGGCGGATAGATCCATCGTAAAGCCTATTGGAATTCTTGAAGATGTCCCAGTTCGTGTGGACAAGTATTTTGTGCCTTGTGATTTTATTGTGATAGATGTCCGAAGGAACCTAGACGTTCCACTCATTTTGGGGAGGCCCTTCCTAGCCACTATTGGAGCAATGATTGATGCAAGGAAAGGGTCCATGATTTTTGACTTTGGGGAGGAAAAAGTGGAATTTAATGTTCTTGATGAGCCAAAAACCATTGATTGCAAGTCAATTTTGCACATCGACCCTACTCTCAAGGTGACACATGATGAGTATTTGCATTTGAAGAGTCTATGGGGTGATGAGATCAAACTCGCTGATCAACCAGGATGAGCACTTCATAACCAGGTTAGGTCGAGCTAGCGACGTTAAACTTAGCGCTTCATGGGAGGCACCCCATGTTATCTTTTATTTCTTTCATATTTATTGCTTTCTAGTTTAATTTTATTGCTTTCTAGATTCATTTTTTGCTTTCTAGTTCGTGATTATTTTATTGCTTTTTAGTTTTCTCTTTTCTCTTGTTCTACTTTTCTTTTATTTTGCATCAGGGATGATGCAAAGTTTTAAGTGTGAGGGGGAGGAATCATTAATTTGGGGATATTTCTAAATTTTTAAATTTTTTTGCTTTTGCTTGGATGACTCATATGCTATTTTTTGTGAATAAGTTACTTGTCTTAGCATGCAGTTACAATTACTCTCTCTTGTTGGTTTGTGGTTTGTTTTAGTGGTGCTTGCTGCATCTCAATTTGTGATGGATGATTTGAGGTGTAACACATATTTGATCTATTCTCTTGCCAATAGCTTTGTTAACCACTTAATAATTGGATTAATTCTTGATCTTGTGTTTTGCATTGCTAGTGAAGGCTTATGTGAGATTCCGGTCATGGGTGTTTTGCTAGAACTTGCCTCATTACTCCCTAAGTGATGTCTAAATTTTGCATGTTTTGAAGTGATTTAGGCCATTTTTGTTTAGCCATACCCTTTAAACCTGTCCCTATATATATTTTTATCCTTCGTGTCCCCATTGTGCCTTTTGTTTGTTCAAATAAGTGCTAAGCACTTATCCCCTCTTTGTGATTGTTTTTCTTTGATTTACCCCATTATTATAACCCTTAGCCCGTGGCCAAATATTTCCCTTCCACCCTTGAGAGAATGAAACTTTTATCTTTATCTTTTTCGTAAGAAGAGTTTTATGGAGTTTGTGCTACGAAAAAAAAAGCAGCTAGTGTTA